GTGCAGTTCCCAAATAAGCATTGTTTGTTTAGCTGAGTCATTACTAAAACATGTGTGCAATAGGTCTAATTGTCAGTCTTCACTCAACTGGAAAAAATTAGCGTCTGACATATTTTGACTCCTGCCCTTTTGAGATCTCGTTTCCTCGCCATCAATTAGCATCCCAGAACGTGCTCGTCTTGCCTGCATTTTTGTCACCTTCACTGTTTATTGATCTACTCTTTCTCTGCCCTTTGTGCAAAATTGTCGTGACCGATTTCATGCGCTGGCCTTTCATGGGATACCCTACTGAAAGTTGACGTATTTATCCAGAATGAGTTAGTGGAAAATTAATACTTTTTCAAAGCATTCCAAATTTCAATAGTGAAGACAACAGAGCAACAAGCAAGTGTGAGCAATGTGCAATTTTCTGAAAAGGTGTTGCGCGAGACTGCACTGGCGTTCCAACATTACAGCTGCTGAAGTTTACAAGCCAACAAAAAGAAGTTATGGGGAAGACAGCTAATCAGCAGCTGTTAGTTTATTTTAACATTGTTCATTGTTTTACAAAGTGAATCAATATAAGAGATCATATAAGGGCTCAGGGGCCCAATGGAGTAGGATTCCTCTGCCGGCTGCGGGATTTGAACCGGCAACCTTCCAGCCAGAGGCGCAGATCCTTAGCCACAGAGCCACCACTCCGCCCGAAGCTTTTGTGGTATACTCATCACCCACTGCATTTAACTAAGGTCTACCTGAAAACATAACGTTCATTTTCATTACCTAGGCATGTTTCTCTTTTTCTTTCCATGCGTGACTTTGTACGTCCTTGACAACTGAGTACGGTGCAGTGTTTTGTGAACATACCAGCACGCCTGCCTTACAATCTGCTCCATGTCCAGTCCTACGTGACTTACAGGTACAGTATGAAGCTGAAGCAGACACATGAACATTTTTTACGTATTATTCCAAACTTCACGCTCAGCACAGCATAGTAAATGAAATAAATAGGTCTATGTAATGACCATGTACAGGCAGTGGAGGAAAAAATGGAAACACCAATGAAAAGTTACTTAACAGGGCATGGGGGCATCACGTACTGCCAGTGTCTGGGTTTCTGCAGGAAGGATGCACCCAGGGCACATCCTGGAGGGGGCGCCAGTCCACCACAGTGCACACACACACACTCACGTCAGGGCCAGCTTTCCCAGAATCCAATTCACCTACCAGTATGTGTTTGGACTGGGCACCCAGAGGAAACCCACATGATCATGGGGAGAACATGCACAGATAGCGCCCCAGGTCTGGAATGGAACCCAGAGCCCCAGTGCGATGCTAACCACTGTGCCACTGTGCTGCCAAGGAGGAAATTCTAAAAGAATATCCCATAAATGATCGCCTGGTTTAAGGGTCTGGTGACTGACAAGGTCATGACACATGGATAACAGCGTCAAGTTCCTCAAACGACGGAGGGACCTCACGTGGGCTGTGGAAGGGGCCAGTGTCATCCAGGTGGAAACCCCTCCCAGCAGGAAAGAACTGCAGCAACATGGGGTGAAGATGAAGAGCCACCCGAGCCCTGCCTTGCTGGTACCAGGCACTCCTGGCTGTGGAGGTCATTAGGTTGGCACGGCATGTGCACTCATCTGTTTGTCAAGAACATGGAGAAGGATGATTCATCTGACCGGATCACATTCTCCACTGCTCATTAGCCAACTCGCAAACATGCACCATCAACTTTACCATGACATTGCAGAGTTCTTAGCAGACTGTTTTTGATGAAACTGGCTGCTCGCGCCCCAGCCTGAAATCTGCACGCCACTGATCTTTAGCGGCTTGGGTGTTTCACCTTGCACCTCGAATGAAGGCACAGATTTCACGATTCCACTCTTACGCCCACTGTCGCCCTCTGCTGTCGATGTCCTGCCCACAGATTTCCATGCTGACGTCACCTTAGACACCACAGCTCTAGAAACATCTGCAAGTTACCCTGTCTTGTTCACTGAAGCTCCTGTCAAACGCGCCCCGGTAATCACCCCTCTTTCAAAGTCACTGAGGCCGCCTCTTGCAGTCATGTTAGCAATATTTACTGGCAAGGCCTGAACAGCACTTATATGACCCTAAGCATGCTGGGATACTTGTTTGCTTAACAAATAAGCCACAACTGTTTGGAAGCCCCGACTTTCCGTAGACTTGGTGTCCCTCACCTACTCAGGTGTTTCCATGTTTTTGCCCACTGGCTGTATAATACAATATTACTCACTGTTACGTGCTGCCCACTGTGCTGTGACACAGCTCCGACTGTAATGGGTGGCGCTATACAGGACAGGATGTGTGCCAGACAGAGGGCAGACAGGCTCCCCTGTAACTGTGCGCTCAGGGGGCTGAGAGGCAGATGGGAGCGAGGGGGGTGGTTACTTCACCTGTCGCTGTAATAGGAGGAGAGCAGAGCGCGGATCTCGGCGGACACAGCGTTATCCTGCAGGAGCAGCCCCTCGCAGGAGGGGGAGGGGAGAGGGGGGCCTGGGGGAGGGAGAGGCAGGCAGGCGAAGAGGAAGGCCAGGGCCGGTGTGAGGGGTGAGAGAGCGGAGACGAGGAGGGTGAACGGGGAAGAGATGAATATGAAGGGAAGGGAGAGGATCAAAGACACGGGCAGGCAGGAGCAAGGGAGGAGAGAGAGAGAGAGAGAGAGAGTCGGCGTGTTAGAGAAAAGAGAAAACGCATACACAGTGCAGCACAGAGAACAAACAGGCTGGGCTGGCCTGGCGGCTCGTGTGGCCCAGACCCGGGCCGAGCCAGCTGAGCCCAATCAGGCAGTGAGAGAGAGCAAAGCCACTCAGAGACAGGAGAAATCAAAGGGTTTGGGCTCCTTTTAACCTACAAATGTCTTGTTCAGTGAAGAAAATTAACACTAGTGTCTCTTGGGTGAGTTTTGAGATATATCATGGAGATCCATGCATAACACAAATACCACAGCTTTCCTTAGATATTTGCATGTGTGTACCTCCAAGACTACTATTTTTTACAAGTTTGTCGTCTACGTTACAGACTTCAATCCACCTTCATGTGCTTTCTGCTCCAGGAAATAAAACCCTGCTGCTTCTGCAAAAGAAAAATGGTGATTCCAGTATTTATGTAGGTGTGTGTGTGAGTGAAACAAATAGTAAAGTAACTTTCGCAACAACCAAATATCCATTAATATATATATCTAAATATCTCTGATACATCTTAATATCTAAAGAAGATGTTCCACATACCAGGATTAACACAGAGCTTGAAAATATTTAGGGGCGTGTTTTTACTGTATGACTCATGAACACAAAACTCGTCCTGGAACAGATTCACCTACAGCCTCGGGGCCAGCGGACAACAATGACAACAGCAGTCCCATCTGTCCTGAGATCCCCGGCGTCTGATTTGAAGGTGGAATTGCTTGGAATTTAAAAAACATGCTGCCAGGGATTAATGAATCATGGCCCGTTTCGCTGTATACTTTTTTTTTCTAAGCAATGCTTTTTTCTTTTTGTTGTTTTGTATTTGTTTTTAGTCTTGTGTTGTACGTTGCACCCCCTGCTGCTTAAATTGCCCCCTAGGGGATGAATAAAGTATTTTGACAGGCCTTTTACACCCACACACTCACCCCCAGACAGATCTGCCAGCAAGCTTATCTGTGGCAGGGTCAGGGTGCCGTTTTCCTCGAAGTTAATTAGCTCACTAATTGAGGTTCCTTTTCCCCGTAGCCTCTCTCGCTGCAGCTCAATGCTTCAGAACTGCTCTTGCGCTTCTTCCATATTTCGATTATCCAGAAGAAAACTCTTCTTAGGAGTTAACAAACATAAAATCTTTTTTTTTCCCCTAAACAATACTCATCAGAACAGATGAATGCTTATAAATGACAGTAGGCCAATCAGAGCATCAAATCTGTTTGGGTTTTTCAGTAGAGTAGCTATTTGATCAAGGGATCTCACCCAGCCGTTTCCTGAAGAACCCAGGGTGTGGGTGTCAACACCATGAGCTGGACAGCTAAATAATTAACACAGATCTTCGCCATACTGAAATAGCAACTTGCCCATTTCTCCAGCCCTCTAGAGCCCATTGGTATATAGGTCTCGTCATGATCGTCTGTGTCAGGCCCCGCATGATGGACAGGGCCAGGACCCAAGATCCCAATGAGCTGGTGTCTGCTTCGCTCGATGCCCAGGTGGAGTGTCAAATGCACATCACCCTTGCGGCTAGACCGCTCGCTGGGCATAGCACAGCTCCGCAACAGGACATGTGTGGGACAGGGGCTATGGGACACGAGGACAGCTTGCAATGCCTTGAAAAAACCAAAGACAAACCCAGCCGACTGCGCTGGTTAAACGGGCACCTGGCTGGCCATCACCCAGCTTCGTACATCCGATTTATAGACGCTGGTAACCATTAAGACTCAATATGAAAGACATGATTGCCCAACTGACCAAGGCAAACTCTAACACGGTATCACAGAGCCAGGGGCCTTTGAGGCTCTGAGGCCACGTGCTGCCCGAGCTGCCCGGGCGCCTCACCCTCTGCCAGGGCTGTGGAGGGACTCAGCTCCCATGGGGGTGGTGGGGCTCGAGGACCTGTGCCAAGGCCCAACAAGCAGGTCCAGCTCCTCACCTCTCACCATGCAGGTGAAGTTAAAGTAAGAGGCCACATCGTCCCTTCCCTCAGCTCTTGCGATCTGGGGATCGGTGGGATCGCACTGGGATCTTGTAAAAAATCTGGTTCTCATCCAGGGCTATCACAGACCAGATAGTCAGGGAGTCTTCAGACACTGGCCAGAGGGAGTGTAAGCTCCAGTGGATTAGGACTTGTTAAAGCACTTCTTACTGCATACGGGCAGGGCACCGGTCCAGTAGAGGAGAAAGGAGCCCTAATAAGAAGGCCAGGCAGGTGCTTGTTCTTTCCCGCTTGATGGGGTTGACAGAGCCCCAGGAGGTACCTGGATAGTCGGTGTGCGGGTGTCCCACGAGGGAGACGTGCGAAGCAATCCTTACCCATCTCGTGGTACAGCGAACCCTGTTTCGCCATGACGATGGGTGGTTTCCGCGGAGACGGAACCTCGATCTTCATGAGCTCATCGCAGCACTGCTTCCACTGACCTGCGGGGGGAGACAGGCTGTCAGTTCAACCCCGGGCACCCGTGAGCACGGCAGGAGCACAGGCATTGCATCACTGTAACACTGTATCTGATATACACAAGTATCAGGCGCTTTAAACTTGCTGATGCATTTACAGGGCAGCCACTAGGATCCTGTCTGGTCTGTATGTCACTGCACTCGGTGGAGGCCCAGCAGTCCACCATACAGTTTTAATTCACACCCTCAATGTATTTAGCCAGGACTGCTGATGACACAGATAACACTAAAATTCACAACATTCTCAGTGTAGGACTGTACAAAAAATCTCTCCGAAACGGTGACATGAGGATGAAAAGCACCTGAACGCACAAAACATTAACCACCATGAAATCGCTTCTGTGATTAAATACGAATGCATTTCATTTCCTTGAACTACAATGTACACATGTCCACAGGTTCTGTTGCATCACAATGGAATTTTACTCCTGCTCCCTACGGAGACTGTCGGATCTGTTCCCTGTTGACTTCCTGTACGAAACCACCAGCACACAATGCAAAGCTCAGGGATGAGAGTAGGAATGACCCCCAGGAGCAGAGAAGGGAAGGCAGGACGCAGAACAGTACCGGCACGTTACGGACACGAGAATCCTTGCAGGGGCAGGCACTGACTGGCAGGGTGTGCCAGGTTATCTTCCATCACACAGCCAATTTTATATTACTGTGCAACTGCAGGTATCAATTCACATCTGCTTGTGCAACCAAATTCTACCTGCATATCGCAGCCTCCATAATACAGAATATATCTGCGGCTGACACTGCCAAGAAGCTATGAGTTAAATGTCTTGGAATCAGTGCCTGGAGATGATCAGATAATAAGAAAATGTGCCTCAGGGAGAAACGCAGAAACCCGGATTGCTCAAAACAACTTGAACGACAAGTATCAACTGAATTTGGAGAGATTCACTTCTCGAAAACTCTGATATTTCCTTGTTACGTTTGGACTGGATTCCAGAGACCCGATCCAGCTTATTTAGAGCATGGGAATGATACAAGGTATTAAAGGAATGACGAGGATAAAAACAGAAACCCAACAACATCAAGCTGTTGTTGTTTCCAAGTAGGTACTTATGTGCCCGAAGCTCTTATCTGCCATATCCTCTCCACGATGGGCGATCAACAGATAAGCTAGACTTTGCTGTTGTGCTCAAGAAGGTGAAAGAGCCCTAGCTGTATAAACACATATAAACACACTAAGAGTTGCAAATGAGAGGAGGTCGTTCAGCTCATTTGGTCAGTTGGTAATTAGCAACTATATGATCCTAGGATCTCAACCAGTTGTTTCTTGAAAGAAGCCGGAACAGCTCATTGTCTGGAATAAGATCTGCAACTTTGCTTTGTGAAAGCAGCCCTGAGGAGGTTTTAACGGCTTTTTTGAGCACATTTTCACTTTTTCTTCCCAAGAAGCTGCGTGTGTTTCTGATGAAGCGTAAGAGGGGCGCGGACGTGCACTCAAGGAAAGGAAAGAAATACACACCCCAGAACCCAAAGGCACCTGAATCATGGGTGAAACTGCATGAAAAAAATAAGAAGAGTTACAAACTGCTCCATTTAGTTTCCACTTGGGGTGCATTACACACTTCAGTGGTGGATGAGGAGAATCCCTTCTGCCTGTAAAGCAATTATGAATCCACTGGATGCAAGGCGCTATATAAATATCCCCAGGGGATAATAAAGCTTGAACAGAATTGAAAATATGAAGAATTATTATTATTCTTTGATTGGAACAGTGCCGAATACTTGGCAGATTTATAGTTCCTGTAAAAACAAAAGAGTAAAACAGACCTATCACAATTACCTGTGGATATTTAGTCACAGCTGTCTGGGTGACTATGTAATTGTTACTAAGATGTAACACTTACACTTTTTGCAGTTTTGCAATTAAGGCTACATTGAAACCATGATAGAAAATAAAAACTCTGCATTCAAGAACTATTAATCCAGACACAGGGAATTCCTCAGTCCTGTCACACCCAATTCCATCCTACACATTCACGAATAAATATACAGAATAAACATTCTTGTCAAGCTGTCAATTAGGATCTGTAAAAGGAATTAATGACAACACCTATGCTAAATGCCTGTTCTTTTCAGTCATGCTTTTAAGAGATTAACACAACTAAACCAATCAAAAATAACAGGATGGAGACACCACTGGATATAACCAATTTAAGATTTAATATTCCGCAGTTTTGATGTGAATGAGTCAAGGAACAGTCATGATCCTGTCACGACAGTTCGTCAATCAATCTCTTAAAAGGCATCCCATTATTAAGCATTCTGATGTTAAGCTTTTAATTGCGTTGAAATCAAAACATTGACTCCTTTCAGTCTGCATACCCTTGCACAGCCTCTAAAGATTCCCAACACCTATGCAAGACGTTCTTTTGTAAGTTAGTAACACTTTTAATACCTATACATATTCTGTAGAAACTAATAACATCTCGGGGTTCTTTAGAGTGTCTTTGGACTCTGAACTTCCTTTTAGAGCTCCCCCAGATTAAAAAAAAAAATTAAAAAGGGTGTGCACTTATAATTTTCTCTGCTCACAAATGATTGCTCCTGTTCAGTTCTCCATGCAGTTATAAAGGTTTACAGATGGCACCACTGTAGCAGGACCAATTAAGAATGCTGTGCTGAAATAGGTGCTGTGTTGGCTCTTTGTTAAACTGGTCGAAACAGCAACAGTCACAGGTGTCCAACTAGCAACCTACAACCAACAACCTTTTTCTCCTGTACTAGACCGTGTTAGAAAGACTGGTCATGTTAAAACCCCACAGTGCCACTGAGCAAAAATTGAGACTTTAGACATGGCTGACAGGCTTCTTAGCACAATCATCTCAAACAGTCTTTCACAGTGGTCTTAGTAATGCATCCCAAAATTATAAATATCATATAAATTGTGAAGTTGGCATCCAGGATCACAGGCTGTGTTTTAGCACCACAGTGCCGCCACTGTGATGTACAGTATAGCGATACGGTCTTGCCCAGTTCCTCACCTCCTTCCAAACAGTTAAAAGGAACGCCAGTTGTTTTCAGGAAATTGTTGTTTTGCTATGTGAATTGTCACGTTAGTGGTTACAGAATGCAAGAAATGATTGAAATGCGCAGTAAAATGGAAAACAAAAGGTTGAAATTTGTCAGATTCCTGGCACACTAAATCACTCAAAATGCAAATGAGGGATCTAATCTGTATCTGAATGCAGGCCTGATCCAGGTCGTAAATAGTGAGAGGTTATTAAACAGTAACGTACTGTAGCTCATGTTGTCAGCATCACTGAAGAGATCCGACACTGCCGAAACAAACCGTGTTCTGGAACCTGCCTGGATCACCTTTATTTTATAAGCAGCTGCCGTTTGTTTAGAACCCCAATATTAGGGCTAAAAAACACAACGATGTCCTCCTAAGGAATGTGCTGTATAGTACGAAATTGTCAGGTCTCCTTTGTCAACAATCTGAAGTAAAAATAAAGGCTTATGGAATGTCTGGGTTCTTGGGAAAAGATCAGCGCTGTACCTGGATGGATGACAAGATGTGTCACAAACGCTGAAAGTGCACAAAACCTTTGAGGCACTGCATGTTTCAGGCTTTAACACTTGTTGCTCCAATCTTCATGGAGCCTTCACCGATTTCAGTCATGGATCCCTGCCAGTGACTATCAGGAAACCTTAAAATGGACCTTTCGCTAAGTATAACAATGTAAGAAAAGTTCCAAATAAACGAGGCCCATCAGCCTGTTTTGTACTGCAGTTAGTAGTTATCTGACATAAGGACCTCCCATCAGCCAGTTTCTGAAAGAGTCCAGGGTGTAGTCTTCTCCAGGACTCCCACAACCCCTTGGGTATGGACGTACGTCCAGTCATGTGTTTTAACAGCACTTCCACGTAGTTTCCTCTCATGCCCCCCGGGGTTTGTGCTTCAAGTGTATCTATGTAAAGATGTACACCTCTGTTCAAAAACTATAGTACGGTCTATTAATCATTTCCAGACCTGAAGTAGAAGTTATTAACGGTCTACTGTAGGAACTGTAAATACATAGTGGGCATGGTTATTAGTAGTTCAGGCGTGAAGCTGCGCCAGCCTGCGCAGGCTGAAAAGGAACAAGTAACAGGTTTATTCCATGCTGAAAAGAGAAGAAAGAAAATATGTTTCGGCCGTGGAGCTTCTTCAGGTACGAGTTAGTTAACATATTCAGAATGATATTTGTTGTCAATACACAGCCCACAAGACTTTTAGCTGCTGCTATTTAATAACGGATTAATCATCTCTGATTCACTTCTGTTCCTGTGTAGGCAGAAGGCTGCATGACTACCATTTTTTTTCTCACACCTCAAACTGCATCTGTCTTAGAAACTGCAGACCATATTAAAAATTAATAATAATTCCTTACACTTATATAGTGCTTTCTGGACACTCCCCTCAAATCGCTTTACAGGTAATGGGGATCCTCTCCACCACCACCAGTGTGTAGCCCCACTTGGGTAATACAACAGCAGCCATAGTGCACCAGTAGGCTCACCACACACCAGCTCTCAGTGGGGAGGAGAGCAGAGTGATGAAGCCAGTTCAGAGATGGGGATTATTAAGAGGCCCTGATTGGGAAAAGCCAATGGGAAATTTGACCAGGATGCCTACTCTTTTCGAGAAACGCCCTGGGATTTTTAATGACAACAGAGAGTCAGGACCTGTGTTTCACTTCTCATCCAAAGGACAGCATCTTTTGACAGTATAGTGTCCCCATCACTATATTGGGTATTTAGGGCCCATACAGATCACAGGTTGAGCGCCCCCTGCTGGCCCCACTAACACCTCTTCCAGCAGCAACCTTAGTTTTACCCAGGAGGTCTCCCATCCAGGTACTGACCAGGCTCACACCTGCTGAGCTTCAGTGGGCTTCCAGCTGTGAGCTGCAGGGTGATATGGCTGCCAGAAAAATACTTTTGTCCTCGAACGTAAGAAAAAT